GGACGGGACCTGGCCCAGAGGCCAAGCTGGTGCTGTGTGGCGGTGGGCCAAAAGCAATTCCTGAAATAAGTTGCCGCCTCCCTATTTGTGCTAATGCTGTTGGAAGGCTGATAACTTTGTTTAAGGGAGAGTTTTTCCCCCTTGGTTTCCCTCTGTCTACCTAGTGCAGACTTTCTCAGGTGAAGGGGCTGTGGAGACTTTTTTGAGGTGTGTTTGGAGGAGCAGTTTTGATTGGTCTTTTTATCCCTTTTTATTCATATTTTACCTGTTGCAGTGCAAGAGTGACACTGTCTGGAGAGTTTCTTTGAGGCCTTTTGACACTTTTATATCAGAATGTACCACTTATTTTTTTAATGTGTACATTTCATGCCTTTTGGTTGCTTCTTTATAGATTTCTCTTGGTAAATGGGATTTTCTGAGGTTTTTCATCCTCTGGGTGCTATACACAGAGTGATTCAATAAAAAGAAGCATTGGCGTTAGAGACAGCTAAAGTAGCTTAGACATCTGAAAAATCCTTTGTGGATTTATAGCTGTAACTTCTGTTTTGATAGCAGCAAGGATTGAAGTTAGGCTGTTGAGATTTTGGCAACATAAATAAGGCATCTACATAGCAGGTTTCCTTTACGTTACTAGCCTGTGGTTTGAGCTTGACTTCAGATGGTAAGCAAGCTGTATATAATTTGAGTTCAGATTTTTTCTTTGTCCTGTACATTGCTGTTCTCATAAAACACTGAAATAAAGAGAATAGGTTTTCCTCTTGTCGGCTTTGTACATAAATATCTCTGAAAGATCTTCCTCCGAGGTTTCTCTGTCAGTTACTAAGCAATAGCCAGGCTTTTACAAGTTTTACCTGACCCGTCCCCTCCTCCAGTGAGAAAGTCTGGTCCGTTGAATCTCCTTGAACTGTAGAAAGATGACAAGGAGATGCAGACTGGAGTAATTCGGTGTAGTTATTTTCACAGTCTTGTGCCGTTTAAAGTCACTGCACTCCTAGCTAGATTTAAATGTGCGTGAGTCTGTGTCTCGACCTAGGATTGTAACGTACAGATTGTACTTCCAGATGAGTGAACTCTCAGTAGCATGCCACCATGGAAATTATTCCTTGAAATAAGGAAGTAATGAACCATTGTAGTAGTTATTCTCCAGCATATTGCAGTTGCCACTGCCTGGTGTCCCTGAGATGAAACTAGGTGTTTGTATATTGAGGTGCTGTAAATCCGTTTTGAGGCAGTGGATGGGGGTGAATGGTTGTGGTGTCCCCGGCTGGCTGACTGACTGCCCTGTTGATGGGGTAGGCTCCTCTGTGATTGCTACACTCTTACTATGCTCCACATTTGTAACTTTATCTTAAATAAATATATATATATACACACACACACCCCGCCACTTAAAAGAAAATCAGTAAGTTGACTTGGAGCTCGGGGAATAAGATATTTTCCATAAAGCATCATTCACGAAATGTAGACTTACAGGTTTTTCCTTTACTTTCTTTTGGATCCCAGCTGTGTACAGGACACCAAACCCAGTGACTGAGGTCAGCTGATCCATCAAGAAAGCTTTTCTCAGTTGCCTGATGAGGTTTATAAGAACAGCTGGGTTGGGTTTTGTTTGGTTTTTTTTTTTTAGTAGTATTACATTAATTGATACACTATGGGAAGGAGATCGAATCTGGTGTTTTGGTTGGGTGGTTTGTTGTTTTGTTGGGTTTTTTTTAGTTTTGTTTTGTTTTGGGGTTTTTGTAGTTCAGATAATAAGATATCTTGTCTAACCATGACTGCTATAACAGCCCTGCTATTTTATAATGAGCAGTGCATAGTCAGGGATAGAGCAAAACAAGTTTAAAGAAAACAAACAAGAAACCACATATCTGTCAAGCCTGATGGTAGGCTTCACATAGGAGTATCTTTTCTGCATATATGAGAACAGGAAAGGAGAAGGGAAGGAATGATTCTGGTAAAAACATTTTATAAAGGATAAAAAGTAAAAGTGGTTGATGTGAAACTTTTAAGTTTGTCATCCCGCAATTACATAAGTGGTAAGCCAAGGGCAGATCTAAGAATTGCTAAGTCCTGAGTCTTGAGACACGATGTGGTACTTTCACTGTGATGCTGGTGACAGTGATTGTGCAAATTATTGTGGCCTTTCTGTTTTCCTGTGTGCAATGCGAATGATAATACTTCATTGAGTATATAATGATTTATAAAATGCTTTGAATGTGCTTTGAACCTACTGTGAAATTTCCAGTTGATTTATTATTGCAATATCTAACTAGTTTATGTAAGTTAAGCAAAATAAAACATTGTTTTTCTGAGCAGGTTCATGAACGATGCTCAAAATAGATTAATTTCAATTTGGTTAATATTGAGGAATTTATTTTGTGTTATTGTAGAAGTATACTTAATTTCAGGAGTGCTAGCATCCAAAACAACAATATTTAATACATGGGGACTATGAGAAAGAAAGAAGGAACAAAGTCATTCCAGAACGAATGGTTAACATTTATGTAGGAAAGACCGTCAAGACAACTCCTGTAATAAGAAAGAAGGGTGAATTGCAGACTTCAGAAAGAGATTTATTCATTTTATTGACTGACATGTTTGCAAAATGGTACAGAAAAATTTATATGCCTTAGGGTGTGGAAAACATGCATTATTAACTCTGTTTTAAAAGGCTCTTTAACTTTATTGTTGCCAGATGGGATGAGAAAGCATCCTGCACTGCAAATGGCCTCCTGTTCGACGTAGTCTGGAGTCAGTTTTGGTTCGTGAAGAAGATTGATGATTCTAAGGTTTGTACTTTCAAGAAAGCTGATTTTATGCTTGCAGTTCCTAATGTAAAAAGACTATGTGAAACTTGAAAACCCTTTGCGTTTTGGCACCCTAAAGCCTGTAACTGCATGTTGCTGCAGTCATATTTTAATTAAAAATTGTGGGATTCAATATTGGTTTGCAGGTCTTTTGAGCAATAAGGATTACTTTTCCAGCATGGATAACTATTTTGTGTGGTCTAGGTCTTGTATGGTTTTTATTAGCATACATCTTTCATCTTTATTGTAAAGGCAACTTAGGAAATTAAGTAATTAAATTAATTTGACAAGGTTATTGCTTAATAACCTAACAGAGTCTAAGCTGTATTCATAAGTATAGTATTTTACTTCATTAATTAGATCAGAAATTAGCCCCTTCTATCAAAGCTACATGCATTGCTAAATACAATACTGGGGTGTTGTGGTTTAACCCCAGCCAGCAACTAGAATCTTGCAGCTCAAGGGTGTGGGAGAAGAGGGGGGGGGGGAAAGGAGGGGAAAGGGAGGAAAAGAAACCTGGTGGGATGAGATAAAGAGAGTTTAATAGAAACAATAACAGAAAAGGAAAAATAACAATAATAATGACACGGGTCACTCTCGCTGCCTGTTGATTTGGCACCATCCTGAGCAGTGATCATGGATTCCCAACCCCCAGCCAACTCTCACTGACATGTCAACCGAGCATGACATCTATGGTATGGAATATTTCATTGGCCATTCCATTGTTCTGTGTATACTTCTATGGGAAGCTGAAAAAAGTCTTTGAATAGTGTAAATAGTACTTAGCAACAATTAAAACCAGTAGGTGTTATTGACATTCCATTCACAGCAATCACTAGAAAGAAAATTAACTCTTTTGAAACCAGGTCATAGGGTAACCTAGTAAAGCAGAAATTTATTTTTACAATGCAGTTTCATTTAAGTCAAGCCTTGGTCTATAGCTGAAACAATATAGTGCTTCTGAACAGCTTGGAGCTTGGACTAAAGGATGAACTTGAGGATGGGCTTTGCTTTACTGTGGGGGTGTTTTGTGTTATTGTTTATTCTTAGGTGGGTTTTTTTTTTTTACTTACAGATGTTTGACAGAATCAAACCATCTGATGAAGCTTCTGCTTCTTCAGCACAAGGTGAGAAGTTTAAAGTAGATGTTTTTGTTGCAGTTATTCTTTTTTTAATGTAATAGTTAACAGTATTAGTTCACCTTGTAGTTTCAATTGCATACTTTGATTTTCTAAATTTCATTATGGAACTTAGATGGAAGAAGTGACTTCTGAATTATCCACAGAGTTTCCATGTAGGTGTAATTTTCTTGTCCTGTAATAAGCTGTTTAAGACATGCTGCATTTTATCTCAGTGATCATGGGTGTAGCAGTACAAATGTAGATTGCCTAGTCTTGATCCCTGACAAATCAGCAGAAAAATTCCCACTCACCTCAACCATGAAAGAGTAAAGCTTATTTTTTGAAGGTCTTGGAGGAACTTTGAGGACAAAAGGATCCTTTTCTACATGCTTTCTTGAACTTACTAAACTTTTTATCTTCCTTTAAAATAGTAGCTTTGACAAATGCAACGTAAGAGAAGTAACTAATTGCAGGTAAAACTCTCTTCCATCTCTTTGATACTCTGTTTTGTTTTTTCTATAGGAATTGAAAGACATGGTGTTGAAGGCTCTCTACAACAGGACAGCAATAGCAGGTATCTAGCTTACTGCTTACACAAAGTAAAACAGGAATAATCTGTTTTTCAGCCTTATCTGTTATCTTGTGTAATGGATGACAGTGATGCAATATAGATCAAGTGTATGATGGAGGTCCTTTTTATCTTGTACCCACATACTGTTAAAAACTGTGGGGATGGCACATTGTAGTGCGCAAAGCTAATGTGTAGGTGTCAAGATTTCTTTGTCTTCAGTCTATTTTTTTTTAAATTTCAAAATACGGAAAACCAGAAGAATGAAAAGATTACTGCCTTCTTCTGGAGAGATGTTCTCTTCAGATTTCAGCCAACTGAAATTAGCATTTGTGTTTGCTGTGCCTTCAACCTGTTATCCTTTGTTTTGCATTTAAGAAAAATTTTCTTTAGTGAAAATTGCTTGGGATTACCTTAAAATATGTAGTCCTACTTGCCATTACAGTTCTGAAATAAAAACTTTTGTCTTGTAAGTTTGTTCCAGCTCTATAGTAAGATGGATGTTTAGAATTTCCTTGTTAAGAACATGAATTAAACAACCCAACATTTCTCATTTTCTTACTGAAATGTCTTGGTAATATTACCTGCTTCTTTCAGTTTAAACACAAGAGGGCAAGAACATCCTCGGCCTGGAGTCTCCACTGTGCAAAATAGACAAGGATACTGCAGCTGTTGCCACGTACACTACACTAATCTGGAACAGGTGATAAGGCTTCTGCATAATTCAGCAGCAGGTAGCAAGGAGTACCAAAAGGCTTTATCAGCTTATAAAATATCGGTCTCCACTGAAGAACCAATACTGAATGAAAAATAATCAATTTGTGAATTGCACAATGTATGCACTGGGAAGAAGATACCTTTCTTACCTGTTACCTGTTAAAAAGATGCTGGTGGAGTGGCATAGCTACTGCAGTCTGCTTTTCTGAAGTGGTACACTGCTGTGCATTGCATTCATTCGGTTTATTTCTGTGGCTTTAGTCTTGAGATCTGTATAAACTGTAAAGTATTAGAGTTAATGTGTTGGATATCAAGGCTGAAGACATTTATCAACTATTTTCTTTTCTTTAACTCTGCCAGTCTCCTGATTTTTAGACCTTTTAAATTAGAAAGTAGAAGCCTAATTAATCTTTTATGCTTATGAAAATTCTCCTTAATTCGAGTGAATTACAGGATGTTTATCCATATGAAGTTCAAAAATATTTTAATAGTCATTCATAGATACATTTAGAGTATTTGTACTAGTTACAAGAGATTTGTGAGCAGCTGTCAGAGCTGCTAATTTAGGTTCCAACTCAGAAAGATATTTCAATACATTTTAGTATTATTGGAGACTCCCTAAGCATGCTTAAAAATCTCATTGAATCAAAGCCTTAAAGTAGAAAAGGATGAAGATTTTTTTTTTTTTATTTATTTAAACATTTTCATAGAACAGTAATGTTTAACCTGGGAAGTCATTTTTAGGAACAGGCAAATGTGTTAACAGTAGTATTAAACTAGTCATCTGATTTGTCTTTCACCAGCATGTTTTCAGCTCCCAGCACAGACATTTTACCACTTACTGTAGGAATCGTATGGGTACCAGTAGCTTGATGGAGCGTTTCCTGCAAGATGTTTTACAGCATCATCCCCACAGATACCATGACAACAGGTATAATACAGCTGTCTGTTTGTCTTAAATATGTGTTGGTAGAATGCATGTATTATGAGTTCTTATTTCTGTTCCACTGCTGAGCAATAGATTTTCTCTGTTTGAGGCAAAACTTTCACATTGAGGACAGTTTAGAAAGGAGTGCATTTATATAAACGCTGTCCACTTATATTGCTTTTGTGTTGTCTCTGCACTTTTAAACTTTGTTTCACTGCTTAAGGATTTGATACAACAGTATTCACAGCAATTAGATGTGAAGACCTGAAAAAATGAGGTATATATGGGTCAGTGGGTATAACGGCAGACTGTACACTCTGACATACTTTTACAAATTCTTATAATTTGGGCTTTATATATATATTATTTTAATACTTATCATTCTGGGCTTTATATATATATTTAGTAGTACATTTTATGGCATGTTTTGAAACAGTTGATATTTTTGGTTTGTTATTTCTGGATCATGTCAGGTGAATATTTGTATGTTTATTATCCTTGCAGTTCACACATTCAGTTAATACTTATGTGAATTACATTTATTGGCCAATTCATTAATGCTCAGATTTTGAAAAATGTTGTCTTTAATTATCATTTGCATGTTTAAGAGTGATAAGAGGGTCAGTGTGTAAGTTTTTCTGTGTAAATGAAGGGAAATAAATTAGTAGACTCATAGAATGGTTACAATTTAATCTCAATTAAATCTCATTCCTTGTTTGTTATGTTCTGCAAGGCAGACAAAATTCCCAGTCTGAAATGAATACAGTGTATCTTGATATGCAGCTCTGCTATAGATCTGACAAACAAGTAGAAGGGTATTTTGTCTGAAGGCAGTCATATTGATATTACCAGGATGTGACAGAGCAAGATAATAGGCATGTCTATGACAAATTAGCCCAGGACATGTACACATCACTACAAATAAATAAATTAATCCTTCCATCTTAAGTAAATAATTTTAATCCTTCTAGTTTAAGAACATCCACATTTTTTTGCCATGAAGAAAATTTAGGACTCGCTTTCAGACAACACCCAAATGAAAAAAGCCTGCTCTTGAGGTGTTGCTAATACAAGGTTATTTCTTTGGTGAACGAAACCTACTAACTAGGAAAAACAAGCTACCCATGTTTCTCTAAGTTGTTGGAAGAAGGAATGGCATGAGAAAAATCTGGGTGAAGTTGGAGGGAGAAGGGGGAGGAGTAATCCCAAATCTGGACAGAGTTTGGAAGAAGAAAAGCAAAGATGGAAAAGAAAGTGTGAATAGATTTATGTTGTGATCCTGTTCTGAAAAATGAATGAAGAAAAATATCATTGTATGAGCTGACACAGGCCAGATGCAGGAACAACCACAAAATCATGCATGAAATGCAAAGAGTAAATTTATTGTAGTTACCTTGTGAACTGGGGGATCTCCAAAGCAGCACCTGGGCAGAGGCACACAAGCGGGAACATAAGCACTGTGGAGCTCGGTCCTTGCTAGAAAATTACTGAACCTGCTGTTTTTGCCTGTATATCAGGGATTCATGCAGGCATAGTTTACCACTGTGCTTTGATCTTTTCCACAGCAGGGCAGGAATCTCAAGCATGTTTGATACGGTGCCTCTGAGTCTATCACAGAGCTATGTTATCTAAACATGGATGTTCTACCTGTCAAGCATGCAAGACTAAACAAAGATTAGTATGATGTATGTGTTTTTCCACACCGGCTGCAAGTCACTTGAGTGTGTTTGCAATCTTCACACCAATCTTCTGTTATTTTCCCACACTCTGCCCCCTTGCTCAAGGGACCACTGCTGCTGGTGCTGGCAGAGCTGAAGGTGTCCATTTGGGTTTGTGGGGTGTAGGGCAGGGTAATTTACAGAGGGAAATAATAAATATGTATAGAAAAAGGAATAAACTTCTCTCTACAATAATACGTTGAATCATGTGTCCCATTCATCCTGTCAGGGAATTAAACCTGACCTGAATTAAACCTGAAGACAGCCAGGCATCATCAGTAGATTGTTTCATTTGATGCATTGAGTGCCGAAGATGTTGAATGTTGTCCTCTATGGTGACTGATTGATCAGTTACGTTGAAGCAGCACATGCCTTTAAAGTTGAAGCAGCGTTTATGGTGTTGAAGGAGGAAATAGTCCACCATAAATTGATTTTGTAGTGTACATTTGTGTATAGCTGTTACCTCCTCAGAAGAAATAGCAATAAGAAACACTAATATCAAAATCACTCAGCATAATATAATTCTGTAATACAGCTACTGGGGTTGGCATGCCAATGGAACACTTTGTCATAAGATCTGCAGCTGTTAATCTTCCCTTAATATAAAAGGCAGGTGAGTTAGTTACAGTAGAGGCTGACCAAATCCAAGTATTTACATGTTGATCTTGCAGAAATGTATCCAGGGCATGTGTTTGTAGTATGAGACTACAAGCAGCATGAGCCAACCTGTGACAGCGGAAGAAAACAGAAGTGTCATCTCCTTCCAGTAATACCTATGCTGTTGTCCTAGCTTCTTCGGCTAAGATTACTCTGGGTTTGATAATCTGATGTGGGGTAATTGCCCACACAGATCAGAGAATTACGGCTTGTGCTTTTTCAGATTGAACTTCAATTAGATGTTGGTTTCACGATACCAATAACACCATTCCAATGCTATCTCCTCTAGATAAGGCAGAGATAACAGATATGAAGACATGAAAGATAACTGAAATACAAGAACTTGAGAATCTGATATCAACAAAGGATGTCAAATAAGAAGAGAAGTTGGGGTACAAAACCATACAGCATTCTCATGGGTGGTTATATGAATTTTCACATCTAGATTAATAGGTTGCGGTCCCACCATGCAATCCATTGGTGTGAACAATTCCATTTCCCCTGTAGTTAGTATTTTGGGAGGGATACCATTTGGAAGAATTTCAGTCCTCACCGTTTTTTGTACTGGAGGTGTTGTAATATGATCATGGGTTGTTTGATTATGAATATTCTGGCTGTTTAACAAACCAACTGCTTTAGTAAGATGTGAACTCCAGTGTTGTAAGGTTTTAGTACTGATTAGTTTTTTCAATTGTTCCTTCAGCATCGTATTCATTCTTTCAGTCAAGTCATTAGCTTGGGCATGGTAGGCAATGTGGAATATCCAATCTATCCCTAGCCCTTGAGCCCAATCTTGGATGTTATGTCCACTAAAGTGTGTTCCTTGGTCACTTTGTATTTGGTCAGGAAGTCTGTATTGATGAATTAATTCTTCTAGTGCTTCAATTGTGTTATGTAGATTAACATAGTTGGTGGGTTTAGCAAAAAACAGTCCTGACACTGAATCCACAGCAGTGAATACATATTGCCATCCCCTCGACAGGGGCAGGGGGCCCATGTAATCGACCTGCCAGGTATCCAAAGCCCATTGACTACGTTTTGTCTTTCCCCATGGCCTATATAAGGCCCTTAAATGCAGGTGTATACAAGTAGTACAATTATGTGGATGTTTTATAAACATGTAATGGCAGAGGGATTTGATTGTGAGCAATGTCCTGTGCGCGCGCAGTATAAGCTGATTGATGTCCACAATCTATGTGTGTTTATAACTTGAGCATGTTCTTCAGCAAAGTCATGTTATCTACTTCCCTGTTATTTTGTGACTCAAGTGAATTATCTTTTTGATGAGCTGAGACGTGCCTTACTTTTAAGGGATACCTTTGTACATATTGCCAGAGTTGTTGCCATATATCTGCCCCCCCCCCTATAGTGTATCTTTGTACACGCCAATCTTCTTGGGCCCAGCAGGGTAACCAAATTGGGAGACTTGTATGCACCCCAATTGTTAGTGTATGAGTGATGCGCCTGCCCTTCAGGGTAGAAGAGATGCTGCAATCAATTCAGTCCACTGACTAGGTGCCTCTACACCTGTTTGCCATAATCTAATTCCTGGTAGCAGAGCATATGCAACTGCTCTCCATTGTCTTTGTCTAGTTGCCATACATGTTGTACTTCTCTCAGTAAACCAGGCATCTTTTTTGTGCTCTTCTATTAATTCAGCATAAGGGGGAGCCTCCTCCACAGAAGATATAGGGATATCTCCAAGGGGAAGAGTTTCCCCTAGTGTGGGCATATGATTAAATGATACAGTTCCTAGAAGAGTGGCATGTGGAGTGGTTACATGTGGTTTTCCTTGTAGAAATCGTTGCTGTAAATAATGTTTCCTTTTCCAATGTGTCGCTGCCTGAGCTACTCCTGCATGGGCCCTAATGGAATCATCGGTAACCTACCTGTGAATAGGCATAAGGGTATGTGTACAGTCAAGCTGTCTTGGCCTGTGATTGTTTCAGTTTCTTGTAGTGCCCAAACTACTGCTAAAATTTGTTTTTCCATCAGGGTAAAATGTATAGTGGAGCCTTGTAATGCCTTGGATCAAAATCCTGCAGGTTCTTTCTGATTTTTTGGCCCAGTCATCTGCCACAATCCCCATGAGACTATATCGTCTACAATTGTTACTTCTAATTCAAAGGGTATCCTCACCTAGGAACGTATAATTGCACATGCTCAATGAAAGCAGTTTTGCAGGCATCAAAGGCCTCTTCTTGTTGCTTGGTCCACTGTTAAACAACTTTCTTCCTAGTTAATTTCTGCAGAGGGTGCATTAATATCACCAGATGGGGTATAAAAGTGCTTCAATAAAATAAAATTTATTCACAGTACTTCTGTTAGCAAATGAATGCACCATAAGAGGTAGCATGGCTGTCTGCCATGTATTAAAGTAAGCATCCGTTTGGGTCGTGCAAGGTCTGGTCATAACTTTCAAACGAAACATCACATTCTTTCTTTAATTTTTTAAAACTTATTTTCATCGGATTTTTCCAGCTGTTACACATTGAAGCCTTATGGGTTCCTGGGTTGCATATGACATACCTGTCTGTTCTGTTAATTGTGCAGGACATAAACGCTCATATTTGAGGCAGTCCTAACCACAGAACAGCTAGTTGCAGAATATATAAAAATCTGCTGTTGCCACAGTGGGGCTGAACAATCATAACTTGACTTCTTATGTAAGTGAGTCAGAAGTTGTAGTACGTCTGTGAGAAACAGTAAGCATGGAATTCCTTCACAACACATGCAGAGTTCTTATCAGGCAGCCACGTTTTGTGGGGAAAGGGGCATTTATACGCAATAGTATTTTTATACTGTGCCATATTATAATATTCTGTTTCTCTACAAAAGCTCAGTATTGATTAATGATAGTTTTACCAGTGAAATAACCTCTTTATAAGCTCACAACTTAAAACAAAGGAAATATTTTTACTTTCTCTTGCTTTGCTGTATTTATAAAATGATTGTAATGTATATTTAGCCATTCTTGGTGGGTGGCTGCATGAAGAGGGTAACTGACTAATGCCTGAATTGTTATCTTCAGCTTTGTGGAATGTTCCCCTCTCCCCTTCCACCATTTTCTTTAAAACGGAATATCTCTGCTTAAGTAGCAGAGCTGGTAACTTGATTTCATTCACTAAGTGTGATGCACTCTAGGTAATTACTGTTAAAAAAAAAAAAGCCAACAAAAAAACTATTTGAAAAATCTTAAGCGTATTTACAGTATTTATATAAGGTGTTTTTTTTCCTTCCCCTTTAGACCAACCTATGATGACATGCCACTTCCCGTTGCTCCAGAGGCTGCTAGGATTGCCTGCCTGTCCCCAGAAGAGGTGGAGAAAAAGAGGAAGCAAGACAGACAGGAGACTTCCAGCAAAGACCAGGAATCCATTGGTGAAATATGCTCTTCTGCTCCATGTCTGTCTCGTGAGAGCACAAAGAAAACTTCTGTTACACAAGCATTTATTCAGAAACTAGAAAGAGGACAGCAACATGTTAGAAGAATATCCCAGCAGTCTATGGGCATTTGTAGCAACGAGAAATGGGATATCCTGAAAGATGCTCAAATTGCAAATCATAGCTATGAAGGCCAGTTTACAGCTGTGAGCCCTGTACCTCAGTGGTTTTCAGTCAGTCCTTTAATCCGTAGTTCTTCTGTTAGTCCTAAACCAGGAAAAAATGATACAAGTTTGGCAGCATCAAATCTGATTCCACATAGTGGATGTGATAAAACAGGAATGGAGGTATGCAATAGTGATGTGTTTTTGAATCCATGCTTGAATTCTGCTCTGACACTGGTTCACCCAAAACGCCCTTCAGTTTCTCATCAGAATCGTATGTGCAGCCACAACAATTCTTTACATATTACCTCAGGTCGATCTCTCTCAAAACGAGATGGTTTACGAACTCAGGATGAAACTTTGGTGTCTGATTTCCATCTCAGGGATACTATGGGTATCAGCAGCACCCTAGATCTTGGGACATCCCCACAACTAGCAAGATGCAAAAACGTGAAGATGAACAGAGGTGATGAAAGTTCAGTGGATGACACTATTGAAGATGTTATTTTGAAATACTGCCATGGAACTACATCTGAAGATATGTATTTCAAAGAGGAGAATAATCCCTGTTTAACTTTTTCATCACTTCTGGACCGTACTCATTTAGAGGGTTCTGAAATGAGTTTTGACTGTGATGCACCTATTCAGGCAGGAACAGACTTACCCAAGGCAGCTATAAAAGATTTAGAATTCCTAAAAGAGGTCCAAATAAGTTTGCAAGATAAAGACTATGGAACACAGCTCTCTTCGGTTTTAAAAAGTGAGTCAGTAGAGAAAGTAGAAGCAGTAAAACAGGATGTTGTAGTTCATACTGAAGAACCAGTTCTTCCAGCTCTGCCTCATGTGCCTCCTTCTTTTGTGGGAAAGACTTGGTCTCAAATAATGTATGAAGATGATATAAAAATTGAAGAACTTGTGCGTGATTTCAGGGAAGGTCGTTTTCGCTGCTACTTTGACAGTGAATCCTCAGCCAACTGTACAGGGAAAAGAATGAAGAAAAAAAAGCAGAAGGATGAAAAAAAGAACAATGTTGTTGAGGGTAATAGAACAGAAAGTGCATCAGTTAAAGCATTGCCAGAATTTAATGATGCTTTAAGTGGTGGCTCTGATTTTGGTAACCCATCTTTAGCCTCAGATACACTATGCAACCCACAAACTCTTAAAATGCCTAGGAAAAGGACTTGGCGCCTGGCTTCAAGATGCCAGGTGGTTAAAGTCAGCCATGGCACCCAAACCAGTCTATTGAACTACCCTGTAGCAAAAAGAAAAATGTCTAGAAGGGAATCTGATCCAGCTGATCAGAAAGCAAGCATTGTGTGGCCAGAGAATGAAAAAACTCCAAACATGAAAACTAGACTATGTGCCCTTAAACTTCCCGAGTCCTATAGCAAGATTATGAGTCCTGTACAGCCCAAGACAGTGGTGTATGTACTTTCATGCCCAGAGATAAAACAGTGTAAAGGTAAACCTATAGATATTCCCAAAATGAGGAAAAATCGTAGCTCCACAGATAGCAAGGACTTTGTAAGGTATAAATACAAACAGTGTTCTTTTAAGTATTATGACCCACTGACAAATCGAATTCTGAAAACACCTCCCAAGAGTACAGTTGGAGATAAGGCCAAAAAGCCCTCCCACGTTCGACAGCTTTTCAGAAGTCTCAGCTTTGATGCAAACATGAGGAAACTAGCTGATGCACAGAGAGAAAGCTCACTGTCAAAGTCACTCAATTGGTCAGACTTCTATAGTTCATCTTCAGCATCTTTCCTGCCAGATCCAGGTAAAGGGAATGATGCAGCCTCAAGTCAAAAAGCAGATGGATCTTCTGTTTCCACAGAAAAAACAGATTGTCTGGTATCTGGTCACTCTGAGAACTCTTTTAAACACCTGATCATTTCACCTTTGAACTCTCACCAGTCTGTGGTAGAAGGGGATGGTAGATTAACTCCATTTAACAGTAGAGGTACCAAAACTCCTCTGACTTCCATCAGGAGCGAGCGGTTAGAGAGGGAGAATCCAAAGGCAATGTGGAAGAGAAGAGAAAGCACTAATAAAGAACCTGTTTTTTCCAGAAAGGCTGCAGGATCTATGTCTGTCAGGTGTACTGTTGGAAGGAGAGGAAACAGAGTATCCACAGGCAAGCAAACTTCCAGAACTAAAAAACAGCAAAAAGAGGGGATGAGAAGGAAACTTCGTCCTCGTGCCCAGAAATCTTCTGCTTTCTCCATGCATAGGTGCCAGACAAGGAAAACTACAGTGGGAAAGCACCTTAAGAAAGAAAAGCCTGATGCTAAAAAGTTAAAGGTAAGGAGGAAACCAAAAAGGACCTTTCTGAACTCAACAGTTGTCAAAGGGGTTCCTGAAAAGAGGCAGAAAGTCACATCAGAATCTTTTCCCAAGAAGCCAGAGCGAGCATCTTCCAAAGTCGGTAACTGGGAAGTAAGTGGAGATCGAGATCACCCTAGCACTGTGAATCGACCTTCTAGAAGAACTTCTGCTGTATCGTTACTTCGAAACTGTCTTGTTCTACCAGGTGAGAGCTAGCTACCAAAAGAACTTCTGTTTTTATAGCCAGCACCTGGAAGAAGGTTGAGGAACAGGAAAGGGAACAAAAGGAGGTCATAGGTGAAGCAGTTGAAGTGCTCAAGCTGCAGAAAGTGCAACGCCAGTCTAATGTGAAACAAGTACAACTGTAAACTCAGCTCTTGTTCCTGGAATATGGGGGCATAATGTATTGCACTGTTCTACTGTGTAAAGCTGCAGAAGTTGTGCATTTGAGTTAAAAAGCACTTAGAATCCTAGTTACTAGACTTCACCTGTACATTAGAACAATGAGCTTGAATAGTATCATATTGTTTTCATGGTATTTTCAGTGCGTAATAGTGCACTATAATAAGGTAAATTAGAAGCTGTATTAATTAATTGTGCCTATTCTTAATTTTCCACATAATTCTAAAGTGCAAAAAATGACTCTGTTGTGCTAGAAATTAAATGAAGATATATTAATCTGGGCTGAATTCTGTGTATGTATTTTGTGTTTGTGTATATGCACACCTCCTTCAACACGTAATATATACTTGCCTATGGAGTGGCATTAAAATTAATACAGTATGATACAATTCAGATCAATTCAGTGCTTTCTTGAAATGAAATATAATTGTACATGTTTTTATATTGACTTTTTTTCCTGAAACCATGTCCAAAGCAGTTATTTTGGACAAAACGTCACTGTGGGCTCTCGTCAAGCAATAATGGACCATGCTGGTAAGGAAATATTTCTCTCTAGGGCACTGTTCAAATGGTGGTGGCTAAAGTAAAATATAAAATTCCAAAACAAATATAGGCTTAGGGTTTGGGTTGGGTTTTTTGGTTGGTTGGGTTTTTTTAAATAGCTTATTGATTACATTTATAGGAGAATTTCACATTCCTTAGTGGGGGGATGGAAAAGTTATAGTACAAACAAATAGCAGTGAGTTGTTCTAGAATTTCAACCTTAAATTTGAGTTTCTGTGTTTTTTTTATTTTAATTGGGTGTACTGCTGGTTACATCTTTGTGTACTATAGTTGAAACTTTCTTTTTAAACTTTCAGTAAAATATTTAAATAAACCTAAAGCAGCATCCATCTAAATGTATTAGAGTTCAAATATCTGTTGAAACAGATATTTAAATATCTGTTTAAAATATTTAGTTGAATTAAAATTATATTCTGTAGTGATTCATATTTGGCCACTGGTGCTCTTAACTACTATGATTTTATGGCAAAAAAGGCCGTAGTGGTTTTTTTGTTTCGGTTTAGTTTTTTCATTTGTGGTTTGTTTTAGGTTTTTGTTTTGTTTTGTTTTTAATAGTTGTTATGATGACAGCTTATTTAATGTGTTTAGGAGACATAAACCCTAGTCTTGCAGATGTTCCAGTGCTTTAAAATCCAAGATTAATTGTTCATTTGTATTAATTTAAGCATATAGTTAAACATCATCACAATCAGGGCTCTGGATTGTAAATCTGCAATTTGATATATAATCTGTCTTACTTTAAAGGTCTTTGTAAATTCTATAGTTGTACACTACATCTTCAGAACACAAAAAAAACCATTGAGATTGGATTGAGATAAAGGTGGACTTTGAAATGTGTTAATATAGAGTATCTGAAGGAAATATAAAAGCTGTCATCATAAACCACTTGTTCAAAAAATATTTTTGGGATTTTTTTTAATGTATGTGCATATTTGCCAGGATAAATAAAAGATGTGCATGTACTTAAGCCAGCTGGAAACTAAGTTCCTTTACAAGTCAAATCTGATCTGACAGATTTTTGATGTTATTTTTTAATTTATTTTATTTTTGAAATAAAAGGTGATTTCTATAGGTGAATTTTCCTCTGGTTGTCAGTAGACACAGAATCATACGACCGTATTGCAAGTCACTGGAAAATGAAGGGTTATAATATGAGTTCTCATAGCCCTCTTAACTAATTGTGCCTGTATAATTTAATATTTTGTCTAATATAAAACTGATTTTTTTAAAGCAAAGTTTTAAAGGAATGGTTTTTATAGAAAGGCTAATTTTTAGATAAAGCAAAAGAAGATTTTTAAATAAAGTTTGTTTTAAAGCAAAGCTTTAAATTAATTCTATAGATAAGTTCCATTCTAACATATTTTTATGATACAAGAATGTTTTCCTGTCTAACTTCTTCCATCTTATTTTTCACAATATTGTACACATGAAGAGCATGAATTGTTTTGTGTGTGAATAACGTTTAATGCACATTGTACTTTAAGATCACTAGTGCATATTTGTTTACAGCCAAAAATACTGTTCTTCATACTCATTCATTGCAAGCTTGTGTTTCTCTAGCACACAATTTTTCCTTGAAACCTTGAGTAATAAAAATATCTTGACTATAGAATGACTAATATTTTTACCCTGTTATGTCATCTTTTTTTTTTTTTTTTTTTTTTGTAAATAAGACCCCCTGGTCAGGGTGAGTTTTTTAAAAAGAAAAATGTATTATATTTAAATGAAAGTTTGAGTAGCTATATATTTTCCTTAAAGAGAAAAAAGAACAAGTATGAAGGGTAACAATTTTTTTTGAAAAATCAGACTTGGGTACAAGTCTGGAAACACTTCTGTGGTTGACAGTGTCAAAATAAGATTTACTGTAAGCTTGGATGTTACTCTACACCTCACTTCTGACTGTTTAGAAACCTCTTCTGTGCATGCTCAATGACTACTGGGGAAAAAGGGGAGAATGTGGTATGAGAAGTAAATGTAGAAAGTGCTTTGGAAAGAGAATTGATAAAGATAGGTGCAAAACAAACAATTGCAGACACACTCAAAATGTCATGTGCATGAAGAAGAAAAGAGAGATTTTCTGGGGTCTTGAGGAATTAGTCAAACACTTTCCTCTTGGATAAATAATACAGATTCTGCTGCCATTAGTGAATAGCATATTGTTTCATTAGCAGCATGGCTGAAACTTCGAAACATGACTGTGAAGTCTACACCAATGGAAAACTTGAGAGCGGAAATACTTTCTCACTGAAATTGATGGGAGGGTTGGTTGGATTGAGGTGGAGGCATGGGGGTTTTTTTAATTTGTTTTTTAACATTAGTGGACAAAGATGTTTCTTGATATGTTTGCATGTCTTAATCTAGAGAAGCAAGAAACAATAACTGGATTAAAGAGGAATAAAGTCATGCTTTTTGAATCTAATTGGCAGCAGTTAGACGCAGGATATTTTATAATAGTTGAGAAAAATGTTATAATTTCTTCTTCTATGCATATGTAATTTTGAACTTCTGCAAGTTCATACTTACGTTTTTTTATGGAGTTCATAATTTAAAAAAGTCTCTCCACCCACACATTACTCATTCAGCCTTTTAAAACAATCTCATTCTAAGCGGCTTGATTTTTATTATTTACTTGTATTGTGACTGTTGAGTGTGACCCAGACTGTTACTGTGCCAGGGGCTAACCAAACAGACTAGAAGGTCCCCAAAACTTTACATGTCTGACACTTAACACCTGGCAGTTCTTCAGTTCCTTTTCTGATAGGATTTTTCACTCTCTAGGTCTTTCTGACAACTTTGTGTCCAATGTTCTTGTAATTGTAGTATGAAAGTGCTCCTCCATGGGACTCAGATAAAATGAGGTATTTAGTTGTATTTATAATGAGACTATGACTTAATCTGAAGATGTGTTTAAGGTTCATGCTAAATTTGTGCCCAAATGAGAATACGTGTTTTTGTGGTTTTCATGTTCTTGTAATTGGTAATGTATTTTGCAACACTCTTGCTTGATGCTGTAATTTCTTATCTGCTTCTCTGTCTCCCCTGTCTGTGGTCATTTGAAACAATGTGAGTTTGTAAGAATACAGTGACATTACAAACTTGTCCAGTGCTATTGCTGGATGTTCTTTCTTTGTATCTTCAGCTCATTTAATTTCAGAGTTACTGTTTCCATGTTTTTCCTCAGTCGTGCATTTGGATTTTCTTTTTTTTTTTTTTTTTTTTTTTTAATGTCATGAATTGCTAAATTACAGGACAGGATATTCGGTTTGGAAGTAAATCAGTGACAGGTAACAGAAGTGGATGGTGTCCCGATCTGAAGTGCAAAGGACAAGCTACAGCCTGTGCTCCTGTGCTTGGGAGTCCTCCTACTTCACTGAGTAGTTTTAAACAGGAGTGGGATGATGATTCTTGATTTCTTTAGCTGTCTGCCTTTCTCTTCCCCCTAGGGTAACTCTGGCTGAGAATAGAGTAATCTGAATTCATACTTATTCTGGAAATAGAACAGAGTTTCAACTGTTGATGTTTTGGGGACAGATAAGAAAAGTAAAATGTATCTCACTTGGTAATGCAATTAAAATCCCAGAATTTTTGTCTTTAATGATTTATCTGCTATGAGTTACAACATTCCTGATAATATTTTCCGGAAAACTTTGTAGTAGCATAGGTCTGAGCATGCCCAGAAGCAAAGGTTTTGTTCCTTGTTTGCTTATGTTTTGCAGTTACGAATTTGTTCATTCCTTCAGCAGAACAAATCTTGTTTTAATAAAATAAAGACTAAATTTGCATTTTTGTAGTTTCTTTATTCTTGAAGTGGAATTTAACTTGAAACTATTTGCTATAATTTGTTGTGGAAAAACCACCACAGAATGCTATGGAATAAGCTACTACTTGGAAGAAGGCCAGACATAATTTAAATAGCTGTTCACAATTGCATTATATCTTGACCCAGTGAAGTCTGTTGACTTCAGTGAAGCCAAGATTAGTCCCATTCTGTGGCAACTGAAGCAATGACATCCTAGGGTGGCATGGAAAAAGCATCGGATGTATTTTAGATGCCTAGCTGCACTTTGGCAGCAGGAAACCAAGAAGCACCAACTACATGGCAAGCCGGATCCCTGCAGAACTTACTCATGATCATTTTTTTCAGAATGTGCACTTCATAAATGAGGGCGGTGGCTGGAAGTATCATAACGTTAAGCAGCTTTCTACTTCATGCAAAATGGATTGGCTTCTCTGTAATCA